ATTCTTAGTTGAGACATCTTAAGTCTGATGTCTCATTTTTTCCATTTCAAGACTGCATATATATTTATACCAGCATATTAGCCATTTGCTCTTGGTTTTGTCGTCTGCTCTTGTTTACACTTAAATCTCCAGTCTCTTGTTATAGGAGACTGCTCTTTGACCAAATTCAGGTAGGAAACACATTCTTTCTATCTTTTCTCTAACATCACACCATAGAGAGTCGGTCGTTTGCTGAGTGTGCTCTGCTGTAGATCTTGGCTTCCCTGGCTCTCTGTCCAAAGATTTCCCCAAGCATTTTTCTAGAGAAAGAGCCGCACTGGTTCCTGAGGAGGAGGGAGTTCTGGAGATCGCGACAGAGTTGCGTGTCATACGTGGGTGGGTAGGCTATCGTGTTGTAGGCTGAATTATGTGCTGGGTTTGAGAAGCTAGAACCTGTTTGCATAGGTCTTGGAGATCTTCCTGCCTGTACAAAGACTGGAAATGCTAATTTATATGGCAGTGAAAAGGACTGCATTATGAACCCTGCTGTGTGATGTATGGAGGGTAGCACAGGTTGTTACAGAGCTGGTTTTCTTTTTACTTTGCCTCATTCTTTTCCCAGCCCTGATGTGGGAGGTTTAGAGAAGGAGAATATTTCTTTTCCATTGTCTGAGGAAGCCTTTACGTTTCTGGATATTTAAATGCTGATCTGGTCACTCGCCTGCTGAGAATCAAACTAAAAATCTCCTGAGGAGGTGTAACACACCTGCTCTGCAATGCTCATATGGTTGAGAGCTTGTCCTAGCTGCTGAAAATGCTGTGGGATTCTTCTGATCCTTCTCTAAGCTTTAAGAAATGCTTAAAGGATATAAGGTGTTTTTTGCTTGTTTGTTTGTTTGTTTTTTTTGAGGGGGGACTGGGACAGTGAAGACAGAACATCCTTTTATGGTTAGAAAGCCGTACAAAGCATGTACCAGCCTCTGAAAAGACAACGGGAGTGTTCCAGATTGCTGAGTAAATCTATGTCCCTTTGCACAGACAGTAACTATTGAACTTCCCAGAAAAAAGATTTCTGACTGACTTTCAAAATAGATTCGCAATACTCTTGCTGCTAGATACATTAGCTATATCCTTTCTCAAACAGGGAAAAATAGAGACCTGAAAAGAAGTAGTTTTGTCTGTGGTCCCAGGAAAACCCCTTGCAGAGATCAGACTAGAGCACTGGTCTCTCCTTTCCTGTACTTGTTTTGCTGTGGTTCAGCAACTCATCTGAATAGCAAGTGACTGGAGGGACTAAAATATGTTTTTCTGGACTCATGAAACCACAGCAGAAAGCCCAGAAACAAGAACTGTAGGAGTCTAGTCCTCGATCTTCCATGTGAGGGCTCTGAATGCGCTATGAGCCTCTGCTGAGATTACGATCTTCCATCTCTACAGTAAGTAAAAGTCAGGTCCTCCTGTCAACTTCTCTGCTTTTGGGAGTGTTTAACAGTTGATCTTAAGGCGGGATGAGACCTGGGGTTGGCTGCTTGTGTTTACTGAGCTGCTGAGAATCCATTTCCCCCAGTGAAGAGCGGAAGAAACGGAGCCTCTGGCGTTCAGGCTGCGTGGGAGCTCCAGGCGCGTCCGGGACAAGCCCTGGCAGGTCAGGTGCCCGTGTCAGTGTTAGCGGCAGAATGAGATGAGGCTGTGGGCAACATCACAGCTTCTGGGCTGGGTCTAAGCTGTAAAGCTTTTTACCCTGTTGCTACATGCACTCAGAGGCTACCAACAGCAAATTTACCATCTTCCTCTAGTGTTTTTTTTCCAAGAATAAAACTTTGATAAGACAAAGGAGCAATTTCCGGGAAGGAATTTACAGACCTTGTCTGGGAAAGAGAGGGTGGGACCTGATTGCCCTTGATATGTTAGGCCTGGTCAAACTCTTCTCCAGATCAAGAAAGAGCAGTGTCGAGAGGGTTTCCTCAAAGGCTGCAGCTTTTGGGAATGCTCAGGAGAGAGCACCGAAGCCTGCTGTGGCCATGTCCTGGACTGAGGAGGCAAACTGGAGCAACAAGGCCAGCTGTTCCTGCAAGCCAGCCAAAATAAGCTTGTTACGGAGACAAAAAAAGGCTTTTGCCCTGTATGTGTGTTCTCTGAGCATCTGGATTTGCTGTAGTTGCCTTTTCTGTGAAACCACAGGCTTGTTTCTGTTGTACAGAGAACTGGGAGCTGTTGTAAGTTAATGAAGACTTGAACATAATGTCTTGAAGTGAACTGATCGTTGTGCTTGCTGGGAGAGAGGTGAGGCTTCCCCGTGGGCAGCAGTGCAGGTGAGAACAGATGGACAGGCCATGTCTCAACACGACAGCCTCTGGCAAGTTCAGTCCTGCCTCCGAGGCTCTCTGGCACTTAGGAAGGCTTGAGAAACCTTGCTGGTGAACAGCTATGGGACACTGTGGTCTCTGAAGTTCTCTTAAGCTCCTTCTTGCCCTGAGTTACTACTGGGGACAACGCAACTTGTGTCTGTCTTCATTTGTCTATCACTTCATTTGTCTATCACATTGTCTATCACTGAGTGTTGTTCTTGTTCCTGTGAGTGCCCTGGACTGGCATGTCAGATCTATAATCTCCTGGTGACTATTTCTGCTGGGTTCCTGTGATGTCCCAGCGCTGACAAGAGGCTCAACACCGCTGTCTGTTGCTATCCCCATGTGTCCCCTTGTAGGGTACTGTGTGGCCTCAGAGGAGATAGCCAGAAATGTTCGAAGGTTACTCATTTGTAAACTAAATAGGGTCTCTGAATCTAGCAGATAACTGTGTATGTCTTTTTGAATCATAAGCATTTCCAAACTCCACTAACTGGAAGGAGAAAGAGGGAGCTTGTGGAGATTTTTGGGGGGGCTAGGTAGCATGAACCAATTTTTATCCCAGCCACCATATGTGGCACTTGAAACATCTCGAAACATTTGTTCTATGGTGTTGATCCTTGCAAGAGTAGGTCTTCCAGAATGAATTTGTCAATATCCAAGAAATTTGAAGTACAATAGTGAAAGCACGAAGTGTTTTTTGTTGAAAAAAATCCAAGTGATATGTCTAAGCTTGTGCCTGGGGTACTGGACTCCTGCGTCATTGTATTCCTAGGAGTAATTTAGCAGTCATTTATGAGCAATGTAGTCCTTTTTTTCCGTGGTCCTTGTTTTTCTTAGTATAGAATAAGGCCAGTGATGCTATTTAACACTTTCTAGGGAGTATGAAAGCACAGAGCAATACAGAGCCCTTGTGTAGGGCAGCAGCTGGCTAACAGTGCAGTCTTTCTGATGTCCAGGGGTCAGGGATGGATGAAGCAGAATCCAGTCCCCTGTCCTAAGGCTGTAGGTCATGCTGGTGCTGATGGATTACTATCTACCTCACATTTCCTATAGGGAAATTGCAGGAGCTGTGGGCTTTGTTTCAATGTTTTCTCACTTCCATGTTTTGTATACTCGTATCTTCTCCTTTAGTGTAGGGATGAGGGGAATGGTTCTGCAGAGGCTGCATTGCTGTAGCATGAATAACCAGCATGGGTGTGAAAATGGAGGAATATTTCTTGTTGCTGGTCTGGGTTGGGCCAGTTAGCATTGCACCAGCACTGTTTGTGCTTTTCTAGCTCCAGGCAAATGGTGTGGTCTCCAGAGGAGATTTGGAAATCTTTGCTTCAGGCAGACATGAGGCTGGCTGTATCACTTGTCTGGCATCTCTGTCTTTCTTTCTTCTCTTTCCTTCCACCTAGTGGAAGTTTATGTGTGTCCTTTGTTACTGTCCATGATGACAACATTTGGCTTCAGCTAGGAAATGAAAAAAAAAATGAAGGATATTGGAAAGCAAAAACTGGTTTTGGCCCAAATAGGGGAAAGTGTGCAGAAAACTGCTGAGATGAGCAACAGTTCAGCTTGAGTATGGCCCTTTCTCTGATGTCCAAGGGGTTTGGAAGTGCTGAGAAAGGCCAGAGCAGCAGGTAAATACACTGCTTGGGAGCTGAATGGTGATTGCAGCACACCTGCCAATAGTGAAACCTAGAGAAAGATGTGGCTTTTGTAGAGTACCCTCTGAAAAGAGGGCTGTACTCCTAAGCATCAGAGTGACTGTTTCTTCTCTCTCCCTTTTGAGGGTGACAGTGAAGCTCTGTGCCACTGTTAGTCCCACTCGCCGCTGTGGCCAAGCCTGCACTGCTGCAGCCGCCTTCCCTTCTGGAGAACCTGCCGTGGGGGGAAGAGCTGTCGTGCCCTCCCTGGAGCGCGCGCGCGGCTGCCGCAGGAGCTCCGCCGTGGGCATGGGGCCTGCTTGGCACAGCAGACATGGGAGCTGCACGGTGTCTTCCTGCAGGTCCAAAGGGGCAGCTCTCAAATCCTATCACACAATCTCAGGGTTAGTGTGTGTGTCTCGGTGCTTCTTTGGCTCTTACCCTGACCTTGGTTTTTCCAGGCTCTCTTGGTTCAGTGCAGAAAGTGTGATTACTAACACAATAAGATTCTCCTTCAGAGAGGGCCCTTTAGGCAAGGGTGGCCTAAAGTGGTCGAGCCAGACTGCCGTCTCACTAGTCAGGAGCAGGCAGCCTTTATGCCAGCCCTTACTCTTGTCCATCTGGAAGACAGTAGATTGACTCAATGCATCAACCTAGCAAGAAAGCATGGTATAAATTTCGTGCTCTCATTTTCCGGTAATTTAGCTCCTTAAAAAATGGCAGATTATCAGTTGATCAGTTGAGCACCGGAACAGATGCAAAATCAGCTGTTGGATGTGTGTGTGGGTAAGAAAATGCATGTGGTAGAACATAGGAAGCAAGACCTCCACTTTGCTGAAGGAAATTGTTAAATTTTCTCAAGCCTATTGTAACACCCTGCCTTGGACATCCTGATAATTGTCATCTCTCTTACAGTCTGCTAGTTGTGGGTAGCTGGCTTTTATCTCAAACTTACTGGGTTGTTAAGGTGGTTGAACTTGGAGTAAGCTCAGCCAAGCTCTTAATGCCTCTGTGTGTGTCCCCCTTCTTTCCTGCTCAGCTTGGAATTGCCCTGGGCTTTCTGGTCCCTCCCGTTCTGGTTCCCAATGTGGAAGATGAGGAGAAGCTGGCCTACCACATCAGCATCATGTTCTTCATGACAGCAGGGGTGGCAACAGCCCTCTTCATCCTAGTTGTCATAGGTAAGGAGAAGGGAGCTTGCATGGAAATTTGGTGGAGCTGAGAACATCAGCCTGTGTGTGAAGGGCCTGTGTGCTAGAAAATTGGGCCAAGGGGAATCATCTGGCAATGTGTCCCAGCACACAGCTGTCCGTGTTGTGTAAGACTACATTTTGCTCCTCCAGCCCTTGCTGAAAGGGACATGTAGGAGGAGTGCAGAGAATGGTGAGCAAGCCTGCCAAATCTTTGATTATATCCTTTGCTGATGTAAAACCCTGACATGAGTAAGTCCTTTGAAAGGCAGCCTTAGAAACCTTTCCACTTTGTACCTGCCAACAGGGTGCTGGATCTTGCATCACACCTTGGGCTGGTTACCTCTTAAGGGTAAAGGAAAGGAGGCGAGTAATATGGCATCACAGGGATGTGCTGTTCCCAGGGAAAGAAAAAGGAAAACAGTTTTGAGTGAAGGGAAGAAAGCATTAAGGGAAGTAGTAGGATCCTGGAGGTGCAATTCTGCCATTCAGCACATGAAGTAGCAGCCAGATGTTTGGCATGAAAGATAGAAATACTCACCAGAGAGCAGGGCTGGTCTGCTGGGCCCTGTGATTTTTTTCATGGGCCCCTCTTGCTGTCTTGTTCGTGTCATCTGGTGGCTGAGTCAGATGGAGAATTTAAAGATCCTGGGGTAGGGCTGTCTAGCATCCAATACAGCAGCATCACCTATTACTAGGATTTCTGAATGCTACTGTAGTGCTAATTGGAGACATCAGAGAGCTTGACCATACTAAGAAGAGCCAGGCCTGAAGTAAAAGCTGGCATAGGTCAGTGCTCTCTAAGCACTAGGCATGGAGGGCACGGGGCCACTTTTGTCTGCTTGTTTTTCCCATTCCCATTTGTGTCTCTAGACACTGCAGCTGGTAGTCCATTTTCATACAGACCAAGACACTATTAGTCCTGCAAACTCTCATGCTGCTGCCACAGACAGGCTACACAAAGTGCTGACCAAAGGCAAGGTGTTTTCCAATAGTAGGAGTTGCTGCTAGAGGAACCCTGCTCTGTCCTGTTCTGGATACGTTTGTGCACCGACTTTAAGGACAGTTATATTTTGCACGTTTGGTTTTACTAGCCTAGTCCCTTGCATGGCTCTCCCCTCTGTGCGTGCCCTGGCTTCATGGTGCACTGTTACAAGTACGTCTATTCTGTGTTTCCAGTGTTCAAGGAGAAGCCTCCACATCCTCCGAGCCAAGCTCAGGCCTTGATACAGTCGAGACCACCGGAGGAATATTCCTACGTGCGATCGATCCTCCGCCTGCTCCGCAACACCAACTTTGTGCTGCTCATGGTCACTTATGGTAAGGGCTAGCCACTCTCCACGCAATCCTCATGGCCAGTCATGCTTAGCTTCTCTCTCCCTCTCTGTGCTGTGCTAATGCTGCAAGAGGCCTGGGTTGTTCCAGGGAAACATAAGAGGTTGTCCTGCCATGGACCAGGGGTCCTTGTGGCCCAGCAGTCTGTCCTACACTGGCCCCAAGCAAACGCCTAGGGAAGAAGCAGATAGAGGGCAGATGCACTGCACGTCATTCCTCCAGTCCATTTGCTGTTCATGGGATTTTCTCTGCTTGCTGTTTTCATTTTTTCTTCCCCCAGTAAGTTAGTAAGTTGCAGTGTACTGGTTGAGGTCCTTATCTAAGAAAGTTCTAGTCCTGTGTCTGAGTGTAATTCACTGTCCTGTTAGAACGCATACCAAAAGATGGTAACCTTCTCAAGAGAAGTGTGTGGCAGGCAGGCATCCTGGTGGAGGTCATGTGGTATGTGTCGGTACAGAACCTGCACTGGCTTCTTTGGAAATCTCCATGAAAAATGGGAGGGGGAGATTGGGGACCAGTTGGGCTTGCTGTTTGCTTCTCTTTCTTCAGCAGTCTTGGTCTGCATCTCTGAGGGCAGTGGGATGTGCTGCATAAGTTTCTGATGCTGAATTGTCACATAGAGACATGTTTTAAAAGTTATGTTATTTTTTCTCTTAGCTGAGGCAGGGAATGTATTTTCTACCTATGCCCCAATAGGCTGTACTGTAGCCAGTTAGTCCACAGGGAATTCTGTCCCTACATCCTATGTACTAGCTGTGGAAGTGCCACAGGAGCAAAGACAAATAGTGGTTAAAGTCCTGCCAGCAGCTGTGCCCAAAGAAGCATGTGGGTGAATATTCATGTTGTAGAAAGTGAGATCATGGCTTTGTGTCTGCTGAGGGTGCTAACGGTGGTGGAAATACTTTACAGTGCGATAACATCCTAGGAATGCCCCTCTCAGATCACCTTAAAACTCCAGTTTTGCATCGCAGCTGCCTTTTTTTTTTTTCCACAGCACTTGATGCCCTTTGAGAAAGTGGAGATAGAAAAAAACTGTTGGAGGCAGGTAGCTGGACTTTGTCATCTGTTCCCTTCATGCTTATGATTTGGGGTAAAGAGAGGGGAAGATGTTAGTTCTCAAAGGGGTGAGCAGGTTCTGGAGCAGAAAAGAGAGCTGTCAGTATGAAGAGCATGTTTAGAATCTGATCTCCCTGGGATAATTCCTCCCTGGCAGTTACAAAGGGATGTAGAAAAGCCGTTGAGCAACGGATAATTCAGCCTCTCTTCCTTCTGGTCTGTGTGTTTGTGCTGTTCCTCTCTGCCTCAGCTTCATGTTAGTCTCCAACTTGACATTTAGGCATCTGGCAGCAAAGATAGTGATTGATAAAGCAATGAAACTTTTCTTTTCTTTTTCCTCCCAAGTCTGACTTTAAAATAGAGACAGCTTTCTACTCGACTTAAAAGCTATGTTGACCAAGATTTAGGAAATCTGCAGCCATGTGCATGCAGCTGAATCATCCTCCCCAGCCAACACAGGTATCTGTAGTTTCTCTTCATTTTATTAGTGGAGCGAGTGTTGGGCATCAAAGGCAAAAGCTGCTGCTACCTCCTCTTCCTGCTAGCTGCTGCTACCTTCCTTCCTCAGTGAGGCCAGGTCAGAAAGGGTCTGCATACCTCTAAGGCAGAATATTTTTATCAGTGGTTGCCAAACTCTCTTCCCGTGCTAAGGCTTGCAGTGCTGGAAACATTGATGACACAGGGTTGGTGTGTGAGCTCTCTCTCAGGAACACCTTCACACTGCCTTTTCCCTAAGGTTTCTAATATTGCTTCCATAGGGCTGAGGCATGACACAGAATGGGCATTTATTAGAAAATCTGAATTTACTGAGTTGGGCTCTGTACTGGAACTACAGGTTGCTACAGTGAGGCAGCAGTGAAGAGATGGTAAAACCCCTGTGAAAGAGTGGTAAAGTGGAGTCATAAGTGGGCTCCAAGGAGACAACATTTGGTGAGGTGATGGAGTAGTGAGGAGGAGGCAGGACAATGAGATCTCCATAAAGACTCCTTGTCCTGGAGCATGATGAGAGCAAGGAAGAGGAATACCAGCAATCTGGCGGGTAGATGGCAGATGCTTAGCTACAGAAGTAGGTTTTAGTCCAGGTGTTAACAGGGGCTCTTTTGGAGCCTTCAGGAATAAACTTCCCCTTTCTGGTTTCTGTAAAACAGAAGAGACACTACAGAGGAGGTCTCAAATATGTTCTTAGGCAGCACACTGCAAGTAAGCTGTAGTATCTAAATAATGAAGCAGATGCTGCTGCACATTTGGATATCCTGTTCCCAGCTACTAGTGCTGTTTTTCTCATCTGTGCAGGTAAGTGGGCATAGTCTCAGTGGAAAGGTCCCTTGTCTCTTTTAGAGGCATTCAAACAGCTGGCTATAATTCATGGAGAGATTTCACTGAGCAACTGTGACATGTGAAATGCCTATAACTTTTGCTAGCCCTCACAAATGCAAATCTGGCACATTGTCTTGATTCTCAGAATATTTTGTCTGACTTTGGTGCCAGGTGCTGCCGCCAACTCTGCATCCCTTTCTGCCCAGCTTGGGAGCAGAGACCCTTCTTTTTCCTGGAAATCGCCTGCAGCACAGAGCCTCTGTGGAGCTGGCAGACTGACAGCAGGCTCAGCTGCCACAGCCGAGTCTGGCTGTCCCCACAAAGCTGCTGTCCTCTTGGCTGGATGAGAAGCAGAGAAACACAGATGACTGCTCTGTGTTTGTGCCCAGCTTTGAGGGGAAGTGCTAGTGGGTAGAGTGAATGTGTGATCTTTCACATTCCCACATCCTGGCACTGCAGTTTGTGGAGTGTCTCATAGTCACAAAATGGTTGAGGTTGGAAGGGACCTTTAGAGATCACCTAGTCCAAACCCCCTGCTCCAGCAGGGACCTACAGCATGTGGCACAGGGTGGCATCCAGGCGGGTTTTGAGGATTTCCAGAGGAGGAGACTCCCCAACCTCTCTAGGCTGCCTATTCCAGGGCTCTGTCACGCTCACAGTAAAGAAGCTCTTCCTCACATGGAGGTGGAACTTCCTGCTTCAAGCTGGTGCAGTGATGGAGTTGGGAGAGAGCTCTTCTACACTCTTCTTGGCTGCCTTGCCATAGTGAGCTGTTGGGAAGAGCAGGCTTGCACTGCCAGCCTACAAGGCTGCTGAGGTTTGTTCTGCCTCCTCTCAGGCTGTTGGCCCTACTGGAGCTCCGCTTACCGGGTAGTTTTTGGGAAGGTTCACATACAGAGTGTGTCACTGGGCTTACCAGCCTCTCCTGTGCCCTCCTGGCACATGCCCTCAGGGCAGAGACTGTTGCTGCAGCCATGACCTTGTGGAATTGTTTGTCTGAGTTCTTCTTTTGTTGTGTGCACGTTGCTGCCGTGCTGTTGAGCAAGCTCTGCGTGGTGTCATCAGGAATGGCGTGTGAAGGAAGTATAATCTCCCCCCACCCGTTAATCTTGCTCCCCCTCACAGTCCTGTGTCTAAGACAGTGACTGTCTTACTGTCCTACGGAGGGGGTGGGCTGGGTGCAAGACTGCTCAGGGCTTCAGGCCTGGAGGAGACTTATCTCTGAGCTGGAGCTACTGCTCAGAGTTTTGTTCCCCCTGACAAAGCTCTGCCTGCTAAACTGTACTTCTCTATCATGTACTGCAATGTTCCTGCTTTTAGATGAGGTTGGAAGAAGAAAAATGGAAAGTGGGAACTTGACATGTATCTGGGCTGTAGAATTTCAGGCATTTGAGCCAGATTTTTAAACATATGCCTCCTTCTGGAGACGTATGGGCTGCTGGTAGTGAAATCTCCCTCCCCACGCAGTATCACTGAAGCCTTATAGAGAAACCAACTGCAAATGTAAATGACTTTCTGAGAAGAAAGTTGAGCCAGCTGTTACAGGCCTCATCCACCTGGGGAAGGTTTCTCAGTATCACCCAAGGTGAGAGGATAGTTGTTGCAGTACTGCTCCTGCAGCCCCCATATGCATGTTCTCATCTACCAGAGCAAAGCTCTTGTGTGTGCAAGAGGAAACTTGATGAAAGTTGCACATATGCTGGAACAGTGTCTGAATAAGGCTTGACCAGTATCACCCCAACGGTTTCCATTTTCACCTTGGGTGATACTGAGAAACCTTCACCAGGTGGCTGAGGAGTATAACAGTCGCTCTAACTTCCCTTTCAGAAAGATAATTACTTTCACAGTTTTTTTTCCAGACTTCAGTGATATTCTGTAAAAGGCAAGACTTTTTCCATGCAGACACATGCTCCAGGTGCCTGATGCACTCTGTCAGCTCAGCTCCTACTCCTTCTGGTGTCTCTTGGCCTGGAAGGATGTTCTTTGCAGGCTGTCAGGAGAGCGAGTGCTGTTGGGTTTTTCTTTGGGAAGAAACTTCCCAGGTCACTGGCGCTAATGTTAGCTGAGGCAGGTGCTTTGTGATTTTATTTTTCCCTGGCAGAGATGGAGGAGAAAACTGCATCTCTAAAGATGGGTCTTGCTGTGTGTGTGGAAAGGGTTGAGATGCCATGTGAGTCCTGCAAAATCTTAGTTCTAGAAATGTGTGCAGCCTCTCCGCTGGCTGCTCAGGTAAGAACAATCCTGAGGCTGCAGGCAGCCCCTCCTGAGGGTTGAGGTCTGGCTGTCCTCGGTCTGTATTTCTTCCAGTAACCTGAGTCCAATCAGGTTGGACAGCTGCCGTGGTGCTCTGCAGCCTTGTTCTGAATCAAGTATCTTGCTGCATTTCTACCCTGTCACTACTACTGCAGGAAGGAAGTTGTAGCAGGCTCTGAATGTGCTGCATTTTTATCCCCTCCATAGGTTTGAATACAGGGTGCTTCTACTCCCTGTCCACCCTTCC